GAAAGGACACAGTTGCTTCAGAGATCCCTTTCCAGAACATTCTAGAAAGTAGCCAATTTCCTATCCCTACTTCCTACCCCAACCACTTTTTCTCAAATACCCAGTTTTATTTTCTTCGTAGAACTCAATACTATCTATACTTATGTCACATTCCTTAATTTGTGTCATGCCCCTCACATTCCCTCAACCCACCCTAGTCTGCAATCTCATAAGGGCAGGCACCTCTCCTGTGGTCCCATGTGTGATCCTCAATTACTGTTTTTTTAAATATATGAGTAGACAGTCTCTGTCACATCCTACCACAGGTCAGTAAGAGTGCTCTCTGCACTCCAAGAGAGTTGGTGGAGGTAAGCCATAGGGAGGGGGGGGCTGGGCAGTCTGCGGTGGCATGTTATATTTGGGAGCTCGATGGTGAGTTTGCTTATTCAACCCTGATAAATAGTGGTGGTGTTTTAAGTGAGTTTCAAGCAGAAGCAGGGTCTCCAGGAGGATGCATGTGCTCAGGCCTAACAGCCTGGTCACTGGTCTTTCTCACACCGGCTGGGAGACCAGTGCGAGAGAGAAGACTTTGCAAAAAGCTCATGGTGCCTTGCACCCCTAGTGTAGGAAACAGCCGTACTTCCTGCCACAGGAGGACTCCAGTGAGAACGGATAATCTAGTTGCGGTGCTTTGCCAAACCAGCTTTAAAGATGATATGATGTAACATGTATTGAAAACACATCTTTAAAAATAAGATTGTGAAAAATAAGTTTATCCAAATCAAACTCAACACTTTCTCGATATCTTATGGATTATGAATCCAAAGAAAGAAACCAGAACCTAAAATTTTGTGGGCAGAGAATAAAAAAAATCCTTTTTTCCCACCTCCTTGTCTTCCTCCTCCTCTTTAGTCCTGATTTTTTTCCTCTCCACCCCTGCTTTTCTCACCTGATCTGTTGTCTCTGGGGATGATGCCTGATAAAATTTATGGTGCTATGGGCTTAGTAAAATGTGAGTCACAGCTCAGCTAGCCTACTCAAGGGTGCAGGTGGAAAAAAAAGGTAAGTTTTCTCTTTATAAATATCTTTGCTGTTCTTTAAATCTAACACAGTCAATCACTCTGAGCATCTATTTACCATATCATTTATATGTAATATTTTGTATGCACTGTGGGAATTTGGACTCATGTGGAACACATTTTCAAGGGAAATCAAGTCACTGTTCTTTTTCCTCTTTTGCACAAATAGAAAGATGTCAAGGTAAGGCAAAGTGTGCCCCTCCAGGTGTCCCCCTCCCCTGTCCTATCCCCACCCAAACAAGGAAGTTTCCAAATGTTCACTGGCCACTTTTGGAAACAGCCCTATGGCAGATGGAAGGAATTTCTACTCCCTGCATATGAGCAAAACCGTCTGATTTAGTTGGTTGGGTCAGGTCTTAGAAATGTATTGGCAAGCAAATGTTTATCAGGGGTAACTTATAGTTTCACTGTCTAGATTGCTCCTGGGGGGAATGACAAATTTATGCAATATGGCCCATCTGGTTTTAAAAAGTCTAAATAGGTTAGAAATAATTAAAATCCAGTCTACCTTGTGAAGGTGTGTGCATTTAGAAATGCTCCAATATCATTTTTACCTTATATTCCCTTTCTTATCAGCCCAAAGAAGGAAAAATCTGCTCTTATCTGTTATCTTCCTCCTGGTAATCAGCAGTGATTTTTCTCTCAACGTGAACTTTTCTCAAGAATGTTTCATTTTGATTTTATTATTATTTCTGGCTTCTTGAAGAAATAGGACTTTCAGAGAGCTCTTGTGGTTAGGCCAAGAAAACAAGCTTATCCATGTTCTCCTGTTCCTTGGGGAATTAGACCACCTTCCCAGAGGCACAGCTTCTCTCCCATAAGGTGTTGATACCTGGGTTTCAGCCAGGCTGCATTGAGTGCTTTGATGTCTTGCTCCCAGGATGCACTCAAGGCTCTTGCTTCTACGATGGAACAGAATTCAACACTCCACTCCCACAAATTTCTGCATTTCAAAATCATCATCTGTGATTTTGCTTCTTTATTACCTGGAATGAGTATCATTTCCTGGGAAGTTCAGCTAAAGAGTGCAAGATGCTTATATCCATCAGTCTGAAGAGAATCAAAGGATTTCTTGTGCCTGAAATCACCGGGCGGAACTCCTTAAGTTCATTGTTCCGCTGATGGTGCTTCACTGGCTTTTGCTGGTATCTGCCAGGGGACATCTTCCCTGGACCACATCCTTCTGCTCTGAACACGTAGCAGGTTGTGTGTGTTCCAGCCATCAACTGGCAATGCCTCTTGTATCACTTATCAACCCAGTTTCCTGGGCCACAGATCAGCTTTATTCCTTCTATTTTCCTGGATTTCCTGCTGAATGTAAAAAATGACTTTTTCTCTGGAAGGAAGTGTAGAGCATTTGGCTTGATTAAGGATAAACATTAGTTCCGTTCTTGTAGATACTGAGAGTCTTAYAAAAGCTCGGATTTATTTGCTTATCGTTTGAAAATAAATACTGAGTAATGTTGCTTGCCATTTAAACAGGATAGGTGCAGCTGTTTTTCCTACTCTTAATGAGAATTATTGGTGTTTGGAGGTATTAAATGTAACTAGTAGTAATTTTTTTTTCATTTCTAATCAAAGACCATCACATTCTAAAGATTTATAGTCAAATATTTGTTTTAGAAGACTTTTAAACATTTGCTTAAATCAAACCCTGTGGACATTTCCAGGATACTGTATGTGTTGAGTTCCTGTATTATGTTAACATCATTTAAAACACCCTTGAAAGATGCAAAACTTGTTTTACAACTCCAGTTAATATGATACTTACATAGTAGTGTCCCCAAACCAACCGTGTTTGTGTTCATGATTCTCCCTTTTATCTTGTCTGTAATCATAAAAATTAAGGGATATGCAAAAACTTGCCTGAACAACAGATGCTATCTTGGAGAGATGTTTTAAATAGCCTGTATCTGTAGCAGTTCTGCCTCCGTAGCCAATATTCTCTTCAGCCTTCTTTACTCTCTTCTTTCTTATTCAGGCATTTGCATGTAGAACAAAGAAAAGAAAAGCATACAAACACAAAGGCAGATTTGTTTGTTCTGAGAACATCTGTTCTCCTTGTAAAGCAACCACATGATGTGGTCCATTTTCTTCAGATGCCCTCTTGGTTTGCATTTGTAAAGCGACTGCTCCATCAGTCTTAAGACTGGAATTTAAAGATACTCCCTAATGTGTTGAAATGTAGGGAAAATAGGATAAGTTTTAAATTTTAGGTGATAGTCAGATAAGCATCCTCACAAAGTAAGAGAAGCTGAGGTTGACTACAATATGGTTTATAATAGAATTATTTTCCCTAAAGATTCCTTGAATGATTTCATGTCGTCATTTGGAGTATATTGGGTCCTCTTTACATTTCTTCAATGAATGCTTAGAATTCTTCTTAACTTGGATTTCACTTGAGGTGTGTATATATTCTGAAAAATTTTAAAGATAAATCACTAGCTGTAAATATTGTAATTAAAATATATATTTTTTCATTTTAAATGTTTGTTAATTTTTTAGGAGAATTTCTCCCAAGAAATACTACCATAATCTTAATGACCAGCAAAAATTCAAATACTCATTACTCAAAATCAAAAGGATCAGTTGAAAATTACCTAGAGATTCTACCCAAGAGATACTCCTTTTTTATTTCCTAAATAGTATATAATACCTTCAGTCTTTGGGATAGATGAGTGGGGACTAGATAGTGAAAGATATGTAAAGCTTCCAAAATTACTGAGATAAATGTATTAAATTTTATCAATGTTTACCAAAAATCTCCCATATACTCATTACGTATTCAAAAAGCAGGTATCCTCAGCCAAAGTATCTCAGACACATGGTATCTGTAAAGATACATTGGCCATTTATATATTCCATACTTAAATCACATTCAGAGGTAGGGCTTTCTGTATGTTGATTTATTAATTCAGAAATATTTAATCAGCATCTTTCTGCATGGGCTCAGTTATCCACTTAGAAAGAAGAAACTTGGTCTAAATCCTGGGATTCCAGACAATGTTCTTTGTGAAATTTCCATCTCAGTTTAATGATGACACACATTCTCATGTAACATGACAGTTTTTCTCCTTGTTCACTGGATTGTTTTAATGCCTCCATGTCTCCATCTTTTGCACCCAATTACTACAATTTTCTCTTGCTCCTGATTCTTCATGGTGTGCACTTGAATTTCGTCTTGAGCATCCTGAACATAGATCTCTTGAGACAACTTAGCTTATTCTTTTCCTTACTGGAAACATTCTCTTGACCTAAAAAGGATCATGTTTGAATTTTATGTTATTTCATGTTGTAAGTATTTAGATCTTTTTGGAGGAGGATGAGCAATGAGATAAGTCTAGGCCCCTTCACATTCCCTTCAGGAGCATTATTTATAATGGGGGGGGGTTGACATTATTTCTATGATGCTGTTTACAGTGGTGATTTCTGTGGTCACTGACTTCTGAAGCACCCTGTGGTTAATGGAAATGTCATGTTAAGGCCGTATATGTTACAGAGTTCTTTTCTCATCCGATTGGTGGGTATTTCCTAGAAGCCAGACTGGTGCATTATGCCTAAATCACCAAATGATTCTAAAAATAATTATGATGAATTTCCTGTATTTTCAAGAAATTCATTTAGAATCTATTATTTTGAGAAATAAAGGACAGCTGACTATTGATTCCTATGAATCATCTCTTAGAGCCATTGGTACTGGAAAACCTTGTATCTATAAAGGAGGGAACTTATTTCTTTTATTACTTTGTGATTGTCCTTTCAGTTTGAATGGAGACTTTTGCTCCTGGGGACCTTTATGGAGGATCCTGTTGGATCTATGGGAGGGACACAATTCCTTGAATACTCATGGGTCATGTGCACCAGTGTGGCTTTGACACCCCTGATGCTGTGAGCACTACTTGGAGAACTGATTCTGACTCTGGCCCTTACCACCATCCTTAGGCAAAGGACCTGAGACCCTGTATGCAGGGCAGAAGCTCAATGACAACGAGTGGCACACCGTTCGGGTGGTGCGGAGAGGAAAAAGCCTAAAGTTAACCGTGGACGATGATGTGGCCGAGGGTGAGTGCAAATGTAACAGAACCAGTATTTCTTTGCTCTTATAGACGTCCTCTGTCATTCCATCTTTTAAACCAGAGGCTAAGTACAAGTCAGAAATCATGTTCTCTGTAGACACAATCAGGCAAGGCTAAGAAACAATTTTCCTCTGTATTTTTTTAAATTCCCCTTTCATCAATCTGTATTATAGAATTTATCTCTACTACTAATATTCTTTATTTTGGGGTCTCTCTCTGTAGGCACAGAACATACAACTGAAGGACAGATGTAGGGTTCTATGGATCCTTCTAGAATCCAATAATTTAAATGTCACTTATCAGTCATCCTTCAAGTGCAAACTCCTTCAGTTGGTGAACAGGTTGTACTTAAGAAGAGGGAGGGAGGCTGGGGTTATGGCTCAGTGGTAAAGCGCTCACCTCGCACATGAAAAGCCCTGGGTCGGATCCTTAAAACACATAAAAATAAATAAATAAAATAAAAAGTTATAAAAAAAATTTAAAAAAGAAGAAGAGGGAGGTAGATAATCTGGTGTTCAGAATATTTTAGGGACATGTAAATATCTAGCACAGTGCATGATATTTAGGAGTTGCTGAACAAGGTTCCGTTTAATGAATTATTCATTTATTTAATCATTATTGCCTGAGTACTTATTTTGTACCCAGAACTGTTTTAGAAGGAATTTGGAATATGGTGATATAAAAAACAGGTGAAATTTACATTTAGGGGGCAATGAAGAAATGAATGAACCCATACATATGTAAAGGAACATTTAGCAGCCCACACAACACAGAAGCAGTTCCTGAGAGCCTCTTGCATGTCAGCAGTGTGCTCAACTTGTAGACAATAAGAAGGTCGTGCAGAGCTCGCCTGTTGCCTCAAATAGTCAATCAATCATGTGGATTAGATAGGACTCTGGTGTTTGAAAATGGAACAAGAATATATCATGAGATTCTAATTTGGATGGGTATGATTATAACTGTCAATCAGAAGGGAAAATGACTGACAGGGATGGGGTGATTGGGAGTTCTTTATGAAAGTAGAGATCTTCAGCCCAAATTTGACAGGTGGTTGTAATTGATGAGGTCTAGGGTGGAAGAGAAAAGGCACGTTCAAGTGCTGTTTTACACATTTTCCCCCTGTAAGTCTACACTCTCCTATTCCAGAGCAGTACACAGTAGATAGAATTCTTGTCTATTTGGTAAAGAAAAACTCGAGTAGTACTAGGAATTCCATGGAACACTGCTGGCATCTGGTCTGGGCCCTGACACTAATTCTGCAGGGTGTTGGGAAAGTTACTCCCCATCCCTGGACCTTGACAAGTACAATCAGAGACTAAGCCATCTCTACAGGGCCTTCTGTGGATAAGACCGCCAGTTAGTCAGGAGCCTTGGGGTTTAAAACAATCATTGCCATTAAATTGCTTTATGCCTTTGGGATAGATATACTAATCCTCTTTGTCTTCATTTCCTCATTTTGAAACTTGAACTTCTGTTACTTCTAAGGTTCTTTCTAGCAAAAATGTTCTGCGATTTTGATTCCTATAATTCAATTTTATATTCATAAGCCTGAGTTTCTATATTTCTGGAGTCAGGAATTATAGTGAAACAGGAGTGTAGGGGTGTGTGTATGTAGGTTGAGAAAACCTGTCTGATTGAGGAAGAACAGCTAGCATGTAGGCATTAGACACTGTGTTGTCTATCTTACATGTATCAGCTCCTTTAATCTTTTATAATTCAGCATGGTCTTTCAAAATAAATGTTCATATTGTCAGAAAGGTAACATGAAATTTAGAGTTGGATAATTAAGCTTCAAATCCATGTCTTCTTGATTCTACCTCCAACCCATTGTAAGAAAATGATTTATCTGCCAGGTGTGGTGGTGTATACCTGTAATCCCAGCAGCTCCGGAGACTGAGGTAGGAGGATGATGAGTTCAAGTTCAGATTCAGTAATTTATCGAAGTCCTAAACAACTCATGCAGATCCTGTCTTTGAATAAAATATAAAAAAGGGGTGGGGATATGACTCAGTGGTTAAGTGCCCCTGGGTTCAATTCTTGTTACCAAAAAGAAAAAAAAAAAAGATTTCTTTTTGAATACAGGAAAAGTGGAAAGAATGGGCAGGACTCGGGTGGGGAACACATTTTGGGAGGTAGACACATACCAACTCTCTCCCCCGAAGGGAAACAAAGGCAAACAGAACCACAAGTGTATAATCATTGTAGTTATACACAGACATCAGTAGAGAAAATATTGTTTTACGTAGAAAGCATTGGTCTATGTTCCTGAGGATAACTTAGCTTTCTGAAATGAATGTAAGAAATGTGATGCAAGAAAAAATGGTTATACTGTTTAGAATGTGCAGTCAGCCTGCATTAGTTGTCCCAGAAATTATCACAAACCATTAGTGCAGGCAGGAGCACACAAAAGCTCTGGCGGTAGTTTGAACAAACAGCCCTTGCTAAACTGGGCTTGGCTGATTAAATCCCAGTGAGGAAATTCACAGCATATTCTGAATATCAGCCACTAGATGGCACCCTCACCCCAATTCTTGCCCTGAGTACTTTTCATTTTCCTTGGGAAATGCACACCCTGAAAGCTTCAGGAGCAGCAGAACTGAGGGGACTGTAATTCCCTCTCTCAATCATAATTCTTTGATAGAACGTTTGGAAAAAGGTAATTGTAAATTGTGCTTTCTGTTGCCAGTAATAATTAGAATGCAGGGCTAAACCAAGGAATGCCCAGGTCATGCAGCCATTGGATATTTGAAATTAACCAAGCTCCTTCACTTTCAGCCTTACCCCCTAATTCACTGGCGGTGGAACAAAGCAGCCACGAGGATGGAGAGATTTGGGAGAGGAAAAGAGTTATTTTGCTTATGAGCTGTAACCTTGGGTTGCTTTTTTCAGTGATAAGGGGTTTGGGAATTTTAATTTTAGTTTATGGAAGTCATAAAATCAGGCAATGAAATTAAAATACCACACAGTCCCCAGGTTATTAAGTGGTGTCTTATTGGCTTATTTAGTAATTGCATTCATGCTGTTTAAGATCCCCCAGAGTGCCAAATTTTCAACTACTTTATATAAATGATGCAAAGAATAGACCAGACTCATAAGAAATCAAAAGCAAAGAAAGAAATAGTCCTCAACCTGGTGTTTTTCATTTATTATAGTGTAATTGTGTTCTCAGAAAGTATTAAGTTCAGTTGACAGTTAATAAGGATTGATTGATTGATTGGGCTGGATTTCTATTATTAAGAATAAATTAAAAGAATACCTCTGTTGGGTTATACCTCTCAGAATGGGGACCTAATGAACTACCCATTCCACCCAGAACTTCATGCTAATATAAAAATTCACCCCTTTGTTTCACTACTTTGCTTCAAGTTGATTTCTCTCTCTGTCATTCATGCTGTAAAAAGTCGTTTTTGGTTTTTTTTTCAGAGTTTTCCATTAAAAACATGTTCCTTGTGTTAATAAAAAGCCTGATTAAATAGGATCGGGAAATGTTAGGTCAAAAATCATGAAGTTCTGTACTGCCAAGACTTACTTATGAGGAACTTTTAATGAGCTAATGTACATTGCTAATCATCAATAATTAAATATGCAGTATTTGGCAAATGTATTTGGCTCCAGAAACTTTTTTTTTTAATAAAGCATTTTATAGCACACACTCTTCAAAAGTGCTGAGATCATGGAGAAAGACCAGGGGAGCTAGAGAGTTGAAGGGAAATATGGCCTTCATTTTAATTTCTCTTCCTGTGTCTTGGAGTCCGGGGAACTCAAGGTACTTCCTCTCTGCTTTTCCTATTATTATTATTATTATTATTTGCTAAGCCTTAATGTTGGCCAGGAACCTCATGAAGAAATGAAGATATAAACTCTGACCCCTGTGAAGACATCCCAAATACAAGCTCCTGCCTTTCAGTATAGGGATTCTTGAAGTAGTCAGGCCCCTGCAGAATACTAGAGGACACATGGAAGATACCCAAAGTGGTCCCTATTTTTTTTAAAAAAACTTGCATTTTCAGAAAAGAGCAAATTAAATAAGTAAATAAGTGGGAAATGGTTAAAACATTTCAGAGAAAGAGGAAAAAAACCTGCTGTTTCATTTAGTAATAGCTAATGATTTAAGTCCTATGTACCATTCTAAGTACTTTCTATGAATGGATTACGTTTATCCCTGGGCAACTTCTTACCTAATTCACAAATGGGAAGTGAGGCAGACAAAAGTTAGGTAACTCTCCTCTGGTAGCCCAGTTAAGAACTTGTGGAGTTAGAATGGAAATCTATGCTGTACAGCTCTTGAATTCATATACTCATCCACTATTTGCCATGGCCTCCTGGGGAGTTACATCGTGAACCTGGCCAATAGTTTCCAGAGGTTTATGTTCTTCATCACTCCAAGGATTGATCTGCAGACGGTTTCTTGGCTGTCTGTGAAATATGGAAGTGAATGTGTGAATAGGAGCCAAGACAATGAGGCTGCTTTGGGGGAAGTTGCTGAATGTATTACTCCTGAATCAGATGGAATGGCATTGTGGTGCTTGGCCATGGGGAAGGAGTGTGGACTCATTATAACAGTTCCTGCATGGAAACTTCACCTGCTAAATTCTACCTGCCGCTTTTCTTGGATAATGGTGTTCGGGAATGAGTCGGATTTTTTTTTTTCTTTTTAAATAAATACACGATGGTATACTAGTAAAGATGTGGGCTTTGGAATTTACACACCTGGGTTCAATTTGAGGGTCTCCCATTTACCACCTGTTTGATCCTTGATCACATTGCTTAACTTTTGTAAGCTAAAGGCCATCACCTCTAAAGCAAGATGATGATACCTATATACAATTTTATTGTAATAATGATGTCTGGGAGGAAGCACTTAGTGCAACGTTTGGTGTACAGGGAATAGTCAGAATCTTGGCTTCTCTTTGTTATCTTTCACCCAAGTTACTTCTCTGCCCTCCAAAATTTGAAAACAGCTACGATGAGGTATGCATTTATTTATTCACTCCTGAAGTGGAAGGGAGGTTTATTGTACAGACAGGAAGATATAAATGAAGGGGTTCCAAGTCACTAAAATGGATTAGCTGACACACATAGATTTATTTTTAAATATTTGGTTAGACCGGCACAGGTTTCAAATTCGAAGCATTTTTTTTTTATGCTTTTGCTAGGTGTCCCAGACTTTTTTGTTTATTTGTTTTTTAATCATCATCCACAGAGGAGTGAGTTCCATTAGCAAGTACTAGAGCCAGTACCTCTTTAAGTTTGGCCCTACGTTGCCTTTTCTCCTCTCCTCCCTGGCTCAGATTTGAAGCTGCGCTCTGAGTCACCCTAGACTCTGACTCAGGCTGTGTTCCTGGGCTCATCCTGGGATTTCCTTCTCCCTTTCTTGGCTTCTGTCCCACATATCCAAGCCCTTGCCCAGGCCCTGGCTCAGTCTCTCTCCATTTTCATTCCCAATATGTTTTGCTTTATACCACTGATTTTCTGGTGAGCAGAATTTCACAAGCTCGCAATGTCAGAATTTCCTTCACAGCTACCAATTGACTTGAAAATTGTCTCTTTAGATTTCTTTTAGAAGCCAGGGATCTAGCTTTTTGGATTACCATGAACCACCATTCTTACTTCTTAGTTCTCAGAGTGCAGTTTTTAAAAACACAGATTAGCAAGGCTATGAACATAGTTGTAGGTCCTTTCCTTCAACCCCATGCAAGTTGGTTGTGACTGACCCTCTCATACTCTAGCCCCAGTCCTAATGCCTGTATGAACAGCTATAGCCAAGTTGACATCAGGAGCTTATTTCAGTTGTTTTAAAACATGTGACTGCATGTTGCTCTGGGGTTGTGTTTCCTCCAGGCAGGCCCAATCCCAGTGGCTGCTGCAAGGCCACTGGGAACTCCATGCTTTGAACAAGCCTCGCTTGAAGCAGGCCTTTCATCAATATGCTTACAAAAGCTCTGGAGTGCATGATCACTGTGCTGGTTTGGATTGTTCCTAATCTAGTCCTCTGCAAGGTGGTTCAGCCTAGATCAGCCACATAAGCATCTTGAACTTTGCTAGAAATGTAGATTCTCAAGTGTCAACTAGGACTTTTGAGCTAATAAATTCTGAGCGTGGGGCCTAAGCCTTCAGATAATTCTGGTGTATATCAACATTTGATGATCACATTTTTAGTCCTTAGACTAAAAAAAAAAAAAAAGTTTGTGATTGGGTGATAAAACATAAGGAATAGTCTAATCAGGATAGTTTGAGTAGGGTCACCTTCATTTATTCCATCCATACAGTTTAAGAGCAAAAGGTAGTTTCCCAAAGGAAAATTAGGTGTTATTGCTAGAAAATAATAAGTTGATGGGCAGATAAAACCAACTGATGTTCTAAAGCAGAAATTTTTCTACAAGTACTAGGTGGTGGATTATTATAGCAAGAAATATTTGGTAGTATCTTTGATAAGAGCTAGGGCAGCAAAGACCTTTCTTCTTATCCTGAACATTGGTATGCAATCATTTTCTTGAACACAGAGAACTCATAGTTTTAGCCTGTAATTGGGTTCCCCTTAATCTCACATTCTTCTGTTTATGACAAACCATTCTGAACAGATATTTGGGCATTTGGATGCAGGACATAGGACTTGGGCTGAGTCAGAGCTCAGCTCTTTGCTTGGCACCAAATCAGGTATATCCTATAATGATTATCTTGTTTTCTTGAACCGAATCAAGGAAATCGAACCATTTGCATTCCATCAAGTTTCAAGTTACACTAAAAGATATAGTAAGGATTCTGTGACAGAACATAACTCTTCCTATTTGTACCTCATATCTGGTTTTCATAGGTACGATGGTGGGAGACCACACTCGCTTGGAGTTCCATAATATTGAAACTGGTATCATGACAGAGAAACGATACATCTCCGTTGTCCCCTCTAGTTTCATTGGGCACCTGCAGAGCCTCATGTTTAATGGCTTGCTCTACATTGACTTGTGCAAAAATGGTGACATTGATTACTGTGAGCTGAAGGCTCGTTTTGGACTGAGGAACATCATCGCTGACCCTGTCACCTTTAAGACCAAGAGCAGCTACCTGAGCCTTGCCACCCTCCAGGCCTACACCTCCATGCACCTCTTCTTCCAGTTCAAGACCACCTCGGCCGATGGCTTCATTCTCTTCAACAGCGGTGATGGCAATGACTTCATTGCAGTTGAGCTAGTCAAGGGGTAAGATATGGGGCACCCGATGGTTTATGCTGGATATCTTTGCACAAGCCCCACATAAAATACAGACATAAAAAAAAATCCTGTTCATTCCATTCTTTTACCTCTGTTCTTTTCATGTTATAGCGTCCTCTTTGATTACAAGGAGTCACAAAATGATTCAGGAAGGAAAAGAGATTCATAACGCTATTTAAGATTTTCCATTTTTTGGTAGGGAATGTCATAGCTACTTACTCTGAAATATAGTCCTTTAAAACTATGGGGGAAAAAGCTTATTTTTGCAGAAGAGGACTCAGGCATGTTTTTCATCCATCTCTTGAGTAATACTAACTGTAATCACCAACTATATGCCTAGAAATGAAGTACAGATATTTGCAACCCAACCATCAGCTCATATATAAATTATTTTTAAAAGCTGCCCTTTCTTTAAGACATTTTACTACCACACGTTGGGAAATAGTAAAAAAAAATCAAAATCAGAACCAGATCCTTGACTAACAGAATGAAGTGTTGCCCCAGAGTTTTATAGTGAACCACCTGTGCTACTTCTTGGCTCTAAATAGTATTATTACTAGTTAGTATTACATGACATTATTCTAGATAGTATTACATAACAGTGTTAAAAAAAGTAGCTTCTATGAGAATGGAACAAGAACCAAGTATAATAGAGTAGTAACTAACCCTTCTTATAAACTATGCTTTAATGATTGTCACATTATACCAGTTTAGCTTGGGAGACTCAAAGCCCCCTGCACATTGCTCGTAGTGCAGCAGGGAATTGCTAGTCATCGGTGGTGATTGTTCCTCACAGGTACATACACTACGTTTTTGATCTCGGAAATGGCCCCAATGTGATCAAAGGTAACAGTGATCGCCCCCTGAATGACAACCAGTGGCACAACGTCGTCATCACTCGGGACAACAGTAACACCCACAGCCTGAAGGTGGACACCAAGGTGGTTACACAAGTTATCAATGGTGCCAAAAATCTGGATTTGAAAGGTAAACCTTGTCGATAAGTTTATCCTTCTTGGAGCATTTCTTACAATAGAAGCCCTGTTTCCAGAGGCAAACTCCAGGTTAGGCATGCCACCTATTTTTTGAGACATTGTGCATTTCCTAGCTAAGCAAYGTTGAATTACACCATAATGCAACTGAGCCTTGTCTTTGTATAGACCCCACTTCAAACAATGGTCCCTTTCTTATGATCTCAGGAATGTCTTGTGGCAGGTACTGAGGAGATGGTCAATGTCAACATGTGAGAGGGTCCATAATAAAAAAGAAGAAACATAGTCTTTCAGCTGAGTCATTTTCTGCCTAGATGACATTGGTAAATTTTTTCTTAGCTGTAGTCAGCTTACGTATATTAATTTTTGTAAAATGAGGATGATGATTTTTACTCCCTTTATGGGTCATTAGGAGCTTTGATGACTGTTGGTAGAGCCCTTCAGCATATTGTTGGTTATAAGCACCGAAAAAAAATGTTTTGTTGAAAATATAGTTCATCTTTACTTGACCGTATCATGGGGACAGTGCCTACTTCCAAGGATTGATTTGATGATTAAAATCTGTATATAAAATGCATGGCATATAAGAAATGCTGGTTTCTTCTCTTGACAGTTTAGAGATTCTGGTAATTATTTGGTTTTCATCTGGTCCTGTCCAGATTGCGTTCCACAGATACCCCATAGTCTGAAACGCTTGGGGGAACTGCTCACATGGCTACCATATCCTTTACTCAGTCTCTTTTGCTACCTACCRTCCCATCTAGGCGACCTCTACATGGCTGGCCTGGCCCAAGGCATGTACAGCAACCTCCCAAAGCTTGTGGCCTCTCGGGATGGCTTCCAGGGCTGTCTGGCATCTGTGGACTTGAACGGGCGGCTGCCGGACCTCATCAATGATGCCCTCCACCGCAGCGGACAGATCGAGCGCGGCTGTGAAGGTACCAGCTTTCCTTTGAAGCTCCAGCCTTGTGACAAGCACCAAGCCTCTCTGCTACCTCTGCCAATGCCTCTTTCCTCAATCGACCAGTCCTCTCTCATCCCATTTGCCACCTGACATTGCACTGCCAGCATTGCCCTGTTGTCCCCGGCTGAGTATGTCAGGACATGTGCCACAGGCTCCAGGAGTATGTGTTGGCAGATGTCCCCCAGGATCACATACTTGCCCACAGAGAACCTTCCCTGGCATTGACATCAGGCTTCTTCCAATTTGTGCCTTTGCTTCCTAAATGGCTGAAAAGGGCATCAAAGACTTTTACTTATATTTTAATGCTTGATCAGGGACAGACTTTACGTAGGTATAAAACATCAATAAAATGCTTCCTCTTTTGGCTAATATGGACCGCATGTTTGAACATAAATGCAACCGGAGATAGGAAAATGATGTCAAAATGCCATGATAATGGAAGGGAACTAATATTTATTGAGTGCTTGCTAGAAATCAGGCATTGTTAGGCAGCCTCTTATTGTGGAATCGTGGAACACAGTGGGCTTTGGTGTTGGAAAGACCTACATCCAGGTCCGGGTAGTAGCTCCTGTTTACTGAGTGCCATTCAGCAAATTACTGAACCGCTTTGAGCTACATCTTCCTTCCTTATTTTTTTCCTGTAAAATGAGACCACCAAACTTGCCTTGAAAGATAATATAAATAAATCTGAGTGAGGAAAATGCCTGATCCATAGTAGACACTTGATAAACATGGGATTATTGTTTACAAAATATTATCTCATGCAAGGAATATAATAACAACCACATACCCACCTTCTGCAGCACAACAAACCATGCTCAGCCTGTTTCTAAAGATGATCCCCTCTCTTTTGAGACGTTAGCTGAATTTTACAAGTCTTTCTGAATCCAAGTTCTTTACAATTAACGCAATCTGATCTTAGTCAGCAGAGGGCAGCAGTGATCACATTTGGGGTTCCCTAGCAGCCTTGGTTTGGCTGAAAAGGTGACTGACTACACACCTAATTGCCAGGCAAAGAGCTTGCTTGACCAGTCACCAAGATCCATGTGTTCCTTCCTCTGGTTGAGCCTCATGGTCCTTTGTGCAGAGAATTATGTTTTCTTGTACTCCTTTCTTAATTTACTGGTGTTAAATGGGTTCATTCATTTCCTGTGTTCAACGTCATCCATCTCTCCTGTTGTTAATCAGCTTTCATTTGAGTCCACTCACCACCTTACAGCACATTTTTGTCAAAGCTTCTCATCAGCTTCTCATTCTGACTTTATATTTATGCAAGTTGTTTCCCTTCGCCTAAGAGTCAGCTGCCTGTGTTGCACTAGTGAGAGACCCATCATCCCTACATCCCTACAACCTACTCCAAGTTTCTTTAGCCAGAAACTTTTTCTAAATGCTATTGTCCACATTTGGAGTGTGTGTGTATGTGTGTGTGTGTGTGTGTGTGTGTGTGTGTGTAGGAGGGGCAGGAGGTTCAGAATCACTAAGTTCTTAAAGCAGTCACTTATGTGTTCTCCTAGAAATGCAGAATTTCATTCATCTAAAWTTTTTTTTTAAATCCTCCTGGCCTGTTTGTAATTTTTCAAGTGTTAAAGGATAATCCTGGAATAGATGCAGCATTTGGAATTAAATTGAGTATCTTAGTTTAGAAGATTGTGAAATGACCATATCTCTAATTATCCTGGAATTATTAATCATATCAAGTTAAGTCCTAAAAGCACATATTAAAAAGCATAAGGCACTCACTATTTAAATGCTATATTATACCATCGCTTCTTCAACATGAAATGTTAAGAGGAATCATTCATTGTATTCTAAAGTAATGTTGCCCAATAGAATCATAACACAAGTCACACATGTGGTTTTAAATTTCCCAGGTAGCTACATTTTTTAAGAGGTGTTAAATAACTGGTAAAATAATTTTAATTTTATATGATAGACCCAATATATACAAAATATTATTTAAACATGTAATTAATATAAATTTATTAGGAGATTCTTAGATTTTTTTCTTCAATAGATTATGAGTCTCACATTCATTTCTGTGATATTAATCCTGCAAAATTGTGCATTTTATATCTACAGCACACCTCAGCTCAAAATGCACATGTTTAAAGGGTTCTGCAGCTGCCTGTGTCTCTGGCTGCTGCATTGGAAGCACAGTTCTATTCAATATAAGAATTGGGATGCGGAGGAATAAAGCTATAGTAGTAGATTAAAAGAATGTCTGAGCTACCTTTTATAAAATGTGTAGTGTAAGGGGGAGTGGATCCCACTTAAGAGAGCCTCAAGAGAAGCAATGGGAGTGTTAGCAGAAAGAGATGATCCATGGCACTGGGGAGATGTTCTTGCCCAACCTGAAGCTCCATGTGTAGTTCAGCGTGACTCATCACATGCATTATAGTGTGTGCAGAGCTTCCTCTAAGTACTGGTGATTGTTCCCCGCCGGATATTGTGACTTGATGGCTCTCCCATCCTAATCGATGGCAAAGCCCACGGGCCTAATCATGCTGCACTCTATTGCCATGGAGATAATGACGGTGGTTCCCCGTGGAGCATTGTGACTGCCCTACTGGGTGGGACGGAGTGGAGGACGAGTGCAAGGGAAGGAGGCTCTTGTTTATTGTACACAGATGACTTCCATAATGAGCCTAAGTGGCCAGAAAAATGGCCCCAAAGTGGGTTAAGGCATAAATTACTGTCATTGAAAGTTTCCACCATTGTGAATAAGCCCTTATAAAAGGTCCCAAGAGCTTTTTAGGGTTCTGTGGAAATGAGGTTGTGGAAGATAGTGGGGAGGAAAATGAAGGGCCTTGAACCTTGGAGAGACTGCTGTGCAAGGTGTCATCTCCTTCTGACTCTTTTGTACACAGTGTGTGCCTTTGGGGGTGAGGCAGGAAAGAACACATTTCTCACTGGTCATTTCTGCATATAGAATAGAAAACAGGTGGCAGAGAAGGTTTCCTTAGTCAGAACTAAGACCTGAATCTCTTTAAGATGGAGAATGTGCTTTTTTTTTTTCATACATTTAGGGTCCACAGAGCAGGATACATCCTATGTTCCTGTTAAAGTCATTGACAATGACATTTCAAGATCTATGAGTGGTAAAGATAGTATTTCCCAATTATATCTGACCCACAGCAACAGAGCAAATAAAAGACAAAAGAGTCCAAAATCATTTAAAAAGCTTATTATTCCAATATCCTTTGGCTCTCTATTTTTGTAGAAAGAAAGAACCATTTGAATCAGGTTTTGATTTATGTCTATAATATATGCAGTATGTAAAATTTAGAAATTAAGTACTTTTCCTAGCCAACATCTAGCTGTGACTTTAGACCTATCTGTTTGGTCAAAGATTTCTTAAAATAATACCCCAGTTAATTCTTGGCCGGTACATGTCTCTTTGCATCTTGAGGTGAATTTTGCTATTGAGACTCAGGCCTTACTGTCTAGAAATGCTAATCCACAATTGCAGATGGTAATCATTTGAGAGAAACACACATGCATTGTTTGAAGACTCGCATGAATAAATAAATAAAAAGGACACTGGTTTGGTGCCTTTTTGCCCACAAACATTTGGGTTTGACTCTATTCTTATAATTTGAAAAAATTGAGCTCTAGTGGCATTCCCAAATAAATCACATTGATAGAAATGCTCAATTCTGGTGCCATGTTTCATGGTGACATTGGCAAGAGGGTGCCGGGGGGTGATTCCCAAGTGACTCTTACCTGCTCAAGTCCTGAGCATTCAGAATTATTTTTGTGGGCTCTGTCTGTGCACACGTGTCTTTCAGTCTGGCTACCCTTGTTTCTGGACCATATACACCTTGGGGCTTGCTGTGCAAATGTGTGAAGCCTCCCTGTGCCCATCGCTTGTGCTTTGTGAAGTTCACTTCTTTCCTGCCCCTGCTCTGCTGACTTGGCTCTGAGGAGGCCTGCTCTGCCCCTGGTCTGCGCGTCCCCTCGTCCCCTTGTCTGTGCTGTCTCTGGTGAACCTGTAGAGCATCTCCATGTCTTGTCTGAGTGATGTTGGTTATGCAAACTGCGTTTTCGTTTCTGTAATGTGACCCTGGTTTATTCTACCTCTTACTAACCTCTGGTTATTGTTTTCGCTTTTTCTGTTCTTTTGCTAACAAAGTTGCGTTGACCAAAGCTGACCTGCAAGGTAGAGAAGGCTCTTATTCCCATTACCACTTTGGACTGAAAGCTGCCCCGTGTAACCCCTGGTATCTCGGCTTTAGAGGGCTTCAAGCTGTCACACCTCTTAGACAGCTGCTATGGTGGGGAGGGGGCTGAAACCAGTGTTCTTCTAAAAGGGTGACTGAAACCCTGCATCAGTGCATGAAAAATAACCATACAGAGGAGATCTCAGGGGAATAAGAACATGATTTCATTCCGGGGGTGGGGAACCAAAGAGGTTTGACAGCATCCTATAGCTGTGACTATCCACGAACACATTCACCCTTTCCGGAAATGGTTAACACCTCTTGGTGATTACCATGGAGAGATTGGCCCCTTTTAATCTATTTGCCATAGTCAGAAGGCAGAACTTTGAATGAGGAAAAAAAAAAAAAAGGCCACTTGAGTTCTTCATTTATKATTCTCTAGGTCAGGAAGGTCACTTCCTAGAGCAGCGCATTTAACTGCTTGGGCCTTATGAAAGAGCGTATCATTTAACTCATTTTATAAAGAAATAGTTTTAGGCATTTGGGAGATATTAATGTCATTAAAGCATTCCAGAGGTTTATATTTTCTATTGGGGATTTTCATTAAGCATTTTAATTTCCTGTGTTGTGATCTAAGGGAAAAAGCACTCTTGGGAGAAAAAGAGGATCTGTCAGTTTTATTCTGAATACCCTATAAAATGCCTGCATGTGCGATATCGGTGAATATCTGCTGCAGAAGCTGCTTTTTCCTACCATTCAAAGAGGAACCTTATAAAATCCAAACTACCTACTGGTCCTGTCGTGTCCGGCTTCT